GCTATCTGTCACTCTCTAGGTTTTGGTAATTCTTCTTTAAAGTTGTTATCATCGTATTTAAAAAGCAGAGTCCAGCGGGTCCACTTGGAACAAAGTAAATCTAATGTATTACAAAGTACTCTAGGTGCCACAAGGGTCAATATTGGGACATCTTCTATTTTTTTGTACACATCACAATTTCATAAATACATCATTAATATGAAATCTCACTTTTATGCTGACAACACCCAGCTTTATCTCGAATTTAACGAATCAGACGCCGATTTAGCCGCATTGCAAATCAACAGAGACCTTGAAAACTTATCTGAACTATCGAAGAAATTTTGCCTATCAATAAACCCCACAAAATTAAAAACTATGGTATTCGGTCGCAAGAAATCCAGAAACACTATTAAAAATAATATGCAAATTTATATTGATAACAACTGTTTGACATTTTCCAATTTCGAAAAAAATGTAGGTATTCTTATAGACGAAGATTTGCATTTTTCCCAACATGTTGACTTTATTATTAAAAAGTCTTTTTGGAATTTAAAATTAATCTATTCAAATCGTGAAATTTTAAACAAAAATACAAAGAAAGTTTAGTCTTGTCTCAATTTAATTATGGGGACATAATATATGGCCCAGTACTAACCCAATTTAATAGAAATCGATTACAGCGTATTCAAAATGCCTGCATAAGGTTAATTTGTGGTATTTGGCGCCGTACTCCAACCTCTAATAATTATATGATCGATTTAGGCTGGCTGAATCTAAACAACAGAAGACTGCTACATGCTTTTGTACAGTTTCAAAAAATTTTACTAACGAAAAAACCAAACTACCTTCATGAAAAAATAAAAAAAAGATCAGAGGTCCACAACATTAATGTACGATTCAAAAATAATCTAATAATCCCTAAACACAATACTTCTTCATTCAAATCGTGCTTCTCTTATAATATAGCTAAACTTCACAATATGACTCCTCAATTGTTCAATATCTCGCCTCTTTCCCGTTTTAAGAAAATCGTCAGACTTCACATATTTAATGGAAAAATTAATTACGTGATTAAAAAAAAACTATATTAATAAAAAAAAAACAAAAAAAAAATAAAAAAAAGAAAATTTAAATTATTTTCACAACACAGATCTACCAAAAAAAAATTAATGTAAATAGTATATACATTTTAGTTCATTAGATTTAGGGTAATTTTGTGGCTAGATTAGTTTAATAATTTAGGTAATCAAGCAAATTTAGCGGATATTGTATTTCATGGCTTATACGTTTACAGTAATATAAATTTATTTATTGTCCAAGGTTGCGTGGAAGAGCGCTGCTCAATCATTATTCCCTATCAGGATAATGTTTGCTTTCAGGTACCTAATACATATATTTTTTTTTGTGTAATTACATTATTGTTAATTTGTATTTATGAAAGCAATAAAGTCATTTATTATTATTATTATTTAAGTCTGGGTGGTATGGTGGTAATCTCAAAACTGTATGACCGTGTTCGGAGAATAATCTATCAAATTTGTATCGCTCGAATCTATTTTTATGATGTTTGATTAATGTGTACAGCTGTGGTCGTAATAAGAAAGATTGAAATTCAATATTGTTGGACGTCAACCAGTTTATCATTTCAGCTTTTCTTGAATTTGGAATTCGGAGCAGGATTTTCTATAACATTGTGATACGGTTCATTATCCACAACTACAATAGCATTTGGTGGTAAATTTGGTATTAACAGTTCTCTTAGCCACTTTTCATAATTTTCTTGATTCATATCATTATGCTAATCACCAGATTTGGCCCCAGACACAAACATTTCTAAACTATTAGGAATAAAGCCCATGTTCCTACCAGAATAGACTATAATAAGTTCCTTTCCTTTCGAAATGGTGGAAAACAAACCTTTTGCATTATCATCACCCCAATTATGTGATGATGTATGGCTACTATGTATTTAAGTTTCATCAATATATACAATGGGATGGGATTGAGAACGAAAATATCTAATTTTTTTAATATAATCTATTCTTTTTTCCCTGATGTCAAGCCGTTCTATTAGAACCTGTCTGTTGTTTCGCGTTTTTCGCCACTTGAACCCAATTTTTTTTTTAATAGTTCTTAATGATGTGTAGCTCCCTTTCCACTCAATTTCCTTTTTTAATTTTTCACTAAGAGTTTTGACTGTTACGCGCATACCTTCTGTTTCATGAAATCTATGAACTTATCTCTGATTGTTCCAATATTGTAGGATGGAATATCTGTTAGACTTGATGTTCTTTTGCGCGTTTTTGGACTTGTAAACAATTGTTTAGGTATGGTCGACGTAGAATTTTCACCTTTTCATATCTCACCCTCTATAATTGGATGTAGTTATGCAGAAATGGTCCAATCCACAAATCTACCAGAAATGACTTGAGTAGCTTTTCGATATGTTGCAGTTCAAAATTATATTCTGCTGAAACGATCCAACAATTTAGAAGGATATTAATAGTGACAATCATAAATAATCGTTATATAATATTCTATTTTCATCTCGTAGATAATTTAACTTTAACATAATTTTTCTCAAAATATGGTTTGGGTGGATTGGATCATTTCTGCATAATTATGTCCAATTATTCGTTCAATTGTTTTTACCGAGTATCCTGTAGCTTCAGCAAATTGTTCTTTAATTTCAGTGAGAGTTTTGGAATCATCGTTCACAAGATATTGTCTATAAGTTTCACTATCATCGTCGTTTTTTTTTTCAAAACTATTTGTTGCCGATGAACATTTTTTTTTTCATAAATTATTCGAATAGAAATATTATTTCCCTTGCTTGACTACCTAAATGTTTCGGCATTTTAACACAAGTAAGTCACTACTCACTAGAAAACACTACAAACAAAAATAAAATATAACTCAAAATCTGTACGCTACACAAACACAAATTCAAGAAAATATCATCTACTGATCACCCATGATAACACGGCTATTGTTAAGTTACAGTAGGCGTTGACAATTGAAATTCGAGATTAACGCGCATCCCCTCTTCAGACAAATTAGTTTGCGATGCCTGTAACTTCTTATCAAATTTTATTCAATGTTAGGGGTTGAGGGGAGGCGATTCCCAAAATACGGATGCGTTTTAATCTCAGTGGTTTACGACTCTGTTTTCCATAAACAAACAATTTCAATTATACGCCGACACTCGAACGGCGGATATAACTATTGAAATGTTATAAAGAGTTTCTAGACACTTTGAAACACACTATACATAACAATTTTGGGTCCGCTAACACTTATTAAAAAAAAAATTTTTACCTTAAAATCCAAAGTCCTTAAAATTTGTTGTCGGGTCTCCATCATAAAACAAATGTAAAATAAACCATTTTCACTGATTTCTTGTTGTAGAAACGGCTAAATATCAATATAAGACCATTCATAGAGCAATAAACCGTACCAAATTTTTTCATAAACGATCAAATTTTCTTATTTTTCATTTTTAGTTTGTTAGAAAAATAAATAATCACAAAATTATTTTTAATGACAATTGATGTGTCTAGTTTCTATAAATGCGGCGTTGCCAAATCGAGTAAGAAAACATATAAGTCAGGAAATAATTCGATTAGTGAAAGTTGGCTGAAAAATTACATAGTGTCTGGCCAGCAGGTAAATTTGGATCACGAAGTGAAAACATTTGTAGTAATCACAGACAACCATCTTTTTATTTCATTTCATGATGATTGTACGTTAATTACGGCATGTCGGTACTTATCTAATATTTAAAAAAAAATTCAATTTGAGCTGTGTCCAGGCCGTTGGAGTTTATGCCGGTCGGCGTAGCCAGGTATGGTTTAAAAATTTTCTGGTGGCGGCAAAGCCGCCACCTTACAATAAGTCGTTCCTTCATTTTATTATTGTATATTTTCTTATTATTAGATGCTCACGATACAAGATACGTTCGTTAAAAGTTGGGATCGAGGTTTACTGGCCAGACGATAATGAGGGTTGGTTGGGTTAGGTTTTTTTTTTAATTTGAGCTGTGTCCAGGCCGTTGGAGTTTATGCCGGTCGGCGTAGCCAGGTGTGGTTGAAAAATTTTCTGGTGGCGGCGAAGCCGCCACCTTACAATAAGTCGTTCCTTCATTTTCTTATTGTATATTTTCTTATTATTAGATGCTCACGATACAAGATACGTTCGTTAAAAGTTGGGATCGAGGTTCACTGGCCAGACGCTAATGAGGGTTGGTTAGGTTAGGTTTTTTTTTTTCAATTTGAGCTGTGTCCAGGCCGTTGGAATCTATGCCGGTCGGCGTAGCCAGGTATGAGTTAAAATTTTTTGGTAGCGCCACCCTACAAGAAGTCGTTGCTTCATCTTCTTATTGTATATTGTTAGTTTAGGTTAGGTCGTCGAAGAGTACTCTGCCGATGAGGGCGAGGAAGAAGATCTTAATATGGGTATTTTTTAAATCGTTAGTTTTATATAATTTTTCTGATACTAAAGTCAATTGGTTGGCCTGGTACAACGCAGTGCATAGGTAAAAATTACCATTGCTATGTAATAGATAATTGATATGGCAACATTGTATTTCTTTTAGACATATGTCACACTAGAAATCTTAATTGTCTTTACGAAAATTAAAAAAATCCGACGAATCTAAACATGAGCTTAAATTAAAAAAATAAACTGTTTACGAAAATATTTTGATGGTTTATTGCATTATGGATGGTCTAGTGTTATTGTTTAGCAGTTTCTATAACAAGAAATTAATCAAAATGATGAAGTTTAAATTTTTTCAACATCGAAATTGGAGGACACATTTTAATAGTTTTAAGGTAAGAAAAAAATATTTTATAGCGTTTGCAGGGCAAAAAAAGTATTTTGAAATGTGTTTCAGAAGGTCTAAAATCGTTTAAAAAAAAAATAAAAAAAAATAGTCCGTTCGACTGTTGGCGGATTTTTCCAAGTTAAGCACGAATTTTTCAATTCAATTCAAACAAAACTGAATATATATGTGTCGGCTACCGTACCGTAAAGGTGTCAATGATCTCAGTCTGAACTAAAATTACATTTAATGTCAGAAAAAGGAAATTTAAAATTATAAAAACTTGTGTTTAAATCGATCTTAAGTTTCTACGCATAGTGATCTAACTTTTATATTGATTAAATGTGTAATAGTGAAGAACTATGAATTAATTTTTTCTATATAGACAAACTGTAAGTACCTAAATATTGTTTTCATTCTGCGCGATAAAATTTCGATTCTCCTTCCAAAAAGTGAACGGGCATATCATATTTAAGACATCAAATCGATCACTCGCACACCCGTCAGTTCAATCTTCGATTCATTATAGTAGTTATCAGGAATGGTGAATGCATTGTCAAATGAAATTGTGACTAACGATGATATATTATGAATCTTTTGAAATGTGAAATAGTTGAAATTAGGAAACAAAATGCTACAATTATTGTAGAAATATCTACAATTACTTCGAGTCTGAATGAAACAAAACAAAAATTAGAAGACTTCATACACAAAAATCTTGAATTGGATAATGAAAATAAAAATCTGATATATCCAACACATGACTTTCCTATCTAGTTATTATAGGCTTTTTCCGGTTATTTTGTACAACCTATTGCAGCACCTTCATAAATGTTTAGAGAATAAACTAAATATATACATTTTCCACATACATCTAACTCGACACATTTTTCTATAATTATTCCATAAAATATAAAAACGGCCTCCCATAAAGTACCCCCCCAGATGTTCCGCCTTCGTCCAAAATCTAATCATTTCACCTCAGGCCGAACTAAAACAAATTTAAAATTTAATGTTTTTCCTTTATCCGTTTTTGAGTTTTCTTCAAAAATTATAGAGAATTATATTACAAACAATTTGTATTTAAACAATTTTTATAAAAAAATAATTTTTACATTTTGTGGAATTTCTCGATTAAGGACCATTTTAGGAAAATTTTGTATAGAACAAAAATTATAGATAATAATATCATAAGTAACTTTTATTTGAAGAATTTTCTTCTCCAAACGTAAATAACATATATATTCTATAAAATATAAAAATAATAATAATTATAATTTTATTACTGGCGAAGTGACGAGTTCGTAAAGATCGACAACATCTTAGAATTCTTTCTAACTGATTAACGGTATACTTGGGGCATTTTCTTCGTTTTCTATATTTTAAGACATTTCTTTTGAATTCGCGACTAACAGTCATTCGACATATGCCAAAACGACGACCCAACTTTCGTGTGGATGGACCAATGGTGTTTTTGGCGATTTGAATCAATCTATTGGCTTGAACTGCAGATAATTTCCGTGGTCGACTACTTTTTGGCAAACTAGAACACGGTATTCCTTCTTCACACTCACGAATTGCTTGATAAATTGTTGACACTGAAATATTTTCATTTCGAAAAATATTTACAATTTCTTTTTTCGGCATTTTGCCAACTAAGTTATAAATGCTTCGTCTTAATTTCAATTTGTAAGCCATGATGTCAACAAAACACAAAACTGAAATGTCAAATAAACCAACAACGTATACCTGCGTTTGTTTTTCCACAGACACATAGATAAATTGGTTCTAAAATAAAACAAATCGTAGATGACTTTTTTCCGAAAACTTTAGTGACATATGTTAACTTACCTAACTTGTGCGAGAGCAATCAGTTAAATTTAAATAGCACATGTTAGGTAAATTAGTTAAGTTTTTTATTCTTCTAATTTTTTTATACCGCACAGGTTAGAAAAGTTGGTTAGGTTTTTTATAAAAGAAACCTAATTAAATTACCTAACCTGTGTCAAAGCAATCAGTTAAATTGCTCCAGGCCGTACAGGTTAGATAAATTAGTTATTTTTTATATTTTTTTTTGTGAAGCAACCCTCGAGGGTTCCAGGCTGCACAGGTCAGGAAAATTAGTTAAATTTTTTTAATAAAAAACTTTAACTAACTTTAATCAGGTAAATTTAAATATCGCAGGTTAGGTAAATTGGGAGACAACTCGACCTTATTGAAATACATATTTTGTGCGAATTAATCACAGTTCTTTAATCTCAATAAAGATAAATAACCGTTTAGAACTAAAATATTAATTTTTAAATTAACAGTATTGTAAGGATAAAAACTTGTTAAACGAGGTAACTATCGTTTGAGATTATCGAAAAATTTGCCATTAGTACCTAATTTTGATAGCCGCTGAGTTTAGTTTCTCCGGTAGTAGGGATTAGACGGACGGTTGATTTTTTGATAGTTAACTATTTTTAATGTTGATGTTCGATATATTGTCCTTTCGATCTTATGAATTTTTGATCTATTATCTTTTCGATAAATTGTTATTCGATAAAATACATCTTCGATCAAATGTTATTCGATCAAATGTATTTTCGATTAAATACCGTTCGATAAAAGCTGCGTTCAATGAGACATAGCGATCCCAACCGATACCAATCACATTGGCCGAAAAACATTGGCCATGCTGGCATGATATTAAAGTTACAATGGCCTACGATAGGTATCGCTTTGTATTGAGCCGTATCATTTTGGAGCGTTTAATTTTTACGCTCCTTTCTGCTGCGATCGCGAAATTTGAGCGGAAAAGCTCAAAAATAACCTAAAACTCCTAAAATATATCGCTATTTGCGATTGCTTGAAAAATATATCTTTAACAACCTGGTTGTGATCTACATATTGATAAAAATTATAAAAAGAAATACCTAAATATAAAAATTATTGTAGAATGTGGGTCAAAACTCAAAGTGACAAATAAACAAGTTCACTTTCAATTGCATATGCTACGTTTCATTAAACTAGAATTGTCGTTCGACACAAATTTAATTCATTAAAATTGAACGTATGGAGCATACCGTTCAGCAAGCTGATCCTGTCACCCTAATCGCAGCAAGAATTCGATACACTCATTGAACGCAGCTAAAATGTATTTTCGATCAAATTTCCAAATCGATCCAATGTTTTTCGATCAATTTTGTGCCACCCGTTTTCTCCAGGTAACGCTGGGAAGGTTTTTAGAAATTTTAATTTTTCACTTTTTGGGAACACTGAAGTAAAAATCGCGATTCTTGCGAAAAAAATAGGCTTATTTGTTATTATAAATTAAAACAATATTAACAAATTTGAAAAAACTCTCCGGCGTTACCTCTTAAATTATGTACAGAAATAGTGTTCAAAATTTCAAAAGGATTGGTGCAGTAGTTTTGAAGTTATGAGAAGCACCGACTTTGGAATGTCTATGAAGCTATCATGGCAAAGTCATAAGCCCGCAGAGCGACTTATACTATATTTTTTGGCTAATTTTTTGCTATTTTTTTACCCATTTTTTAATTTTTGTGCCCTGCCGTTACCGAGAAAAATTGGCCGTGATACTTGGCTTGATACTAAAGTTACAATAGCTTTTGCTGTATTTCTGTTTCTATGAGACATATCAGAATCGGGTTTGCGGAATATTTTTTTGCTATTTTTTGGCTCTACAAATTTATATCAATTTATTTTTTTGCTCTTGTGGTTCGCAAGAAACAATGGCCATGCTAGCTTAATACTAAAGTTACAATGGCCAGTGCTGTATTTCTGTTTCTATTAGACATATCAGAATCGGGTTTGCGGCATATTTTTTTGTTATTTTTTTGCTCTACAAATATGTATCAATTTATTTTTTTGCTCTTGTGGTTCGCAAAAAACAATGACCATCTAGCTTGATACTCAAGCTACAATGCCCAGTGCTCTATTTCTGTTTTTATGAATATTAACTAACCCCTTTAAATTTTTTTCATAGAGTGAGCCGTTCTGAAGATATTCAAACTTAAAGTTAAAAATGTATGAATTTAGGACTTTTATTTTATTAAACTGATGACTTTTTATGTCTTAAAAATTATTTTCAAGAAAACATCATTATTTTCATATATAAAGAAAGTAACGACGCACACAAGACAAAAATTTTAGCGCACAAAAGCCAGTTTTCTGTTTAAAAATAATTTTTAAGACATAAAAAAAGTCATAAGTATTAGTTTAATAAAATAAAAGTCATAATTTCATACATTTGCAACTTTAAGTTTGAATATCTTCAGAACGGCTCATTCTATGAAAAAATAAATTAGAACTTTTTGTAGAACGTTCAATTTCCTACCAAAATATTTTTTCACTTTATTTTTACAATGCTTAAATGTCAAGCTACAAAAATAAGAAAAAAGAAAAATTTATTTCCATGTTATTTAGATGGAAAATGGAAAGTTAGGAACAGGCACCACTAAATGATAAAATTAACAGCTCAAATTTTTAGAGGCTTCATTTTTCACCTTCCCGAAAGTTTTAAGCCTGTTTTTTGGTTGAAAAAAAGAAGTTACTCAAAAATGAAACACCCTAATACAAATATATGTCAATTTATTGTTTTGCTCTTGTGGTTCGTAAGAAACAATGGCCATGCTAGCTTGATACTCAAGCTACAATGGCCCGTGCTGTATTTCTGTTCCTTTAGGATGTATCAGAATCGGATTTACAGTATATTTTCGGGTCAATTTTTTTCTCTACAAATATATATCACTTTATTTTTTGCTATTGTGGTTCGTAAGAAACAGTGGCTATGAAAGCTTCAAGTGCTGTATCTCTGTTTCTATGAGATATATCAGTATTGGGTTTGTAGCATATATTTATAATTTTTCTATTTACAACAGAAAGAATATTTTTTTGCTATTTTTTGAGATATCAAAATGATTTTTATGCAAATTATATATAATATATATAATGCGTTCAAGTAATATAAAATATCTATAAGTGTAAGTATACTATAAAAAAACTAAAAAGGTAATAACAAAAATAGTCTTCTTAATTTCCTCCATAAAAGGAACTATTGTAATTGTGAAAAATTCACCTTCCGAGATTATTTCAGATGTTCACGTTTTAGAGTCCCTAGATTACGAAAAACATGTTTCTCCATTCTGTCTGTCTGTCGGTCCACCCGTCCGTCTCTGCGTCTGTCTGTCAGAATCGAGTTTGCGGCATATTTTTTGCTAACTATTTGCTCTACAAATATACATCAATTTATTTTTTTGCCGCAAACCCGATTTTGATATGTCTCGTAGAAACAGAAATACAGCACTGGCCATTGTAGCTTGAGTATCAAGCTAGCATGGCCATTATTTCTTGCGAACCCCAATAGCAAAAAAATTAATTGATATAC